TGACTCACCAGGATGTAAGGAAGCACTGCTCTACTATGCGGGCTGTGAGCCAGTGAAATAAGTACACTCCAACTCCATTCATAACATCAAAACTTAATTATAATAGACAAGAGGGTTTGGCAGTCCTTGGTTCAGGTGACCGATAGTTAGAAATCTAGAGCCTAAAGACAGAAGGTGGATGATCCACCCAGCAAGAAGTGGTAAGTGCACATAGAGCGGAGGGTGGATGGGGCCGAGTGACTCAGACACGAGAGGCCACTAGGAGCCCCAGTAGGAGCCAGCGACCATTGCATCCTCGTGATCACTTACTGGGAGGTGATGGGGGCAGTAGACGGTGATGGTGGGAAAGAGTGCACCGCCTGCCATACTGCAGGAGCAACCATGAGGCTGTGAGACGCCTCTCCTCTGGACCACCATCACCCTTTAATTTCATTTTAAGACACCACATGACATGAGAGTTTCTCACACGAACAGGCGACGGCAGAGCTTTATCACAGTCTGGAGAGTATACCACACACACACACACACACACACACACACACACACACACACACACACACACACACACACACACAATGATCTTTAATGAGTCACTTATGTCAGGAGAATTGCCCAGTTGCTGGAAGAAGGCAAATGTCGTGCCGATCTTCAAGAAAGGAGATAGGGAGGAGGCACTTAACTACAGACCTGTATCACTGACAAGCATCCCCTGTAAAATACTGGAAAGAATAATTAGGCTACGACTGGTTGCACACCTGGAGAACATTAGGTTTGTGAACAAACATCAACATGGGTTCTGGACAGGGAAATCGTGCCTAACAAACCTTCTGGAATTCTATGATAAAATAACGAGGATAAGACAGGACAGAGATGGTTGGGCAGACTGCATATTTCTGGACTGCCAAAAAGCCTTTGATACAGTACCGCACATGAGACTGCTGTTCAAGCTCGAGAGGCAGGCGGGGGTGGGGGGAAAGGTCCTAGAATGGATAAGGAACTACCTAACAGGAAGGAGCCAAAGAGTTACGGTAAGGGGCGAGAAGTCGGACTGGCGAACAGTAACAAGTGGAGTACCACAAGGATCGGTGCTGGGACCAATTCTATTTCTTGTATATGTTAACGACATGTTTACAGGCGTAGAGTCCTACATGTCGATGTTTGCGGATGATGCAAAGTTGATGAGAAGAGTTGTGACAGATGAGGATTGCAGGATCCTCCAAGAGGACCTGAACAGATTGCAGAGATGGTCAGAGAAATGGCTACTAGAATTCAACACGAGCAAATGTAAAGTTATGGAAATGGGACTAGGAGATAGGAGACCAAAGGGACAGTACACAATGAAGGGGAACAGCCTACCTGTAACGACGCGTGAAAGAGACCTGGGGGTGGACGTAACACCTAATCTATCTCCTGAGGCACATATTAATAGGATAACGACAGCAGCGTACTCTACACTGGCAAAAGTTAGAACATCATTCAGAAACCTAAGTAAGGAGGCATTTAGGGCGCTTTACACTGCCTACGTAAGGCCAGTCTTAGAGTATGCCGCCTCATCATGGAGTCCCCATCTGAAGAAGCATATAATGAAACTGGAAAAGGTTCAGAGGTTTGCAACGAGACTCGTCCCAGAGCTACGAGGGATGGGGTATGAAGAGCGCCTGAGGGAACTGTGCCTTACGACACTAGAAAGAAGAAGGGAGAGGGGGGACATGATAGGAACGTATAAGATACTCAGAGGAATTGACAGAGTGGACATAGACGAAATGTTCACACGGAATAGTAACAGAACGAGAGGACATGGATGGAAGCTTGAAACTCAGATGAGTCACAGAGATGTAAGGAAGTTTTCTTTTAGCGTGAGAGTAGTGGGGAAATGGAATGCACTTCAGGAACAGGTTGTGGAAGCAAATACTATTCATAATTTTAAAACCAGGTATGATAGGGAAATGGGACAGGAGTCATTGCTGTAAACAACCGATGCTCGAAAGGCGGGATCCAAGAGTCAATGCTCGATCCTGCAAGCACATATAGGTGAGTACATATAGGTGAGTACACACACACACACACACACACACACACACACATCCAGACTCACACGATTCCAGAGACGTGTTACTTGCGTGGGTATAACGTTCGTGAGACAAACATGGCGTTCGTGAGATGTGCTCAATAACATGCAAAATAATTAAAAACAATAATTAAATACTTGTGTTAAGGAGGAAATGTAGATGTTTATGTCTCAGAATGTTTGGTAATTTGTTTATTGTTTGTGATGTGTGTCTATGTATGTATTAACACGATGTACTGAACGGGGTGAGAATAGCTTGAGCTACCTCATCCCTTTGTGTGTATTTTACATCAATAAACTTATTTCAATTTCAATTTCAATTTCACACACACACACACACTCCAGGATACCAATCCTGGAGTATGCAGCCCCAGCATGGAGTCCATATCTAGTCAAGGATAAGACTAAACTGGAAAAGGTTCAGAGGTTTGCCACCAGACTAGTACCCGAGCTGAGAGGTATGAGCTACTAGGAGAGACTACGGGAATTAAACCTCACTTCGTTGGAAGACAGAAGAGTTAGGGGCACACGTGAGGAACAAGACACTCCCATTTATGCCCAAGATTACCATCAGAGTGCTGGCGGGGGGATGGGGAATTAGCCTCGGCTACCATCCTCTTTTGTCCGGTTGTGTTGGTCGAGTGGTTAAGGTGTCCTGTACGCCAGATGCAGAGTGCTCCTGGCAGTATGGGTTCGAGTCACTTCTGGGGTGTGAGTTTTCAGTTGCATATATGCCTGGAGACCGTTCAGGCTTGTTCGCATTTGTGTTCCTCACGTGTGCTCCAAAGAATGAAGTGATTTGATAAAATACCATGCCCAAGATTACCATCAGAGTGCCGGCGAGGGGATGGGGAATTAGCCTCGGCTACCATCCTCCTTTGTCTGGTCGTGTTGGTTGAATGGTTAAGGTGTCCTGTACGCCAAATGCAGAGTGCTCCTGGCAGTATGGGTTCGAGTCACTTCTGGGGTGTGAGTTTCAGTTATATATATATATATATATATATATATATATATATATATATATATATATATATATATATATATAAATTCTTTTAATTCCGATGCTTTCTGGCCTTTTGAGTGACTGTTTTCTCGTATATCAGACCTCAGTTTTTTTCCAATATCATTTTAACAACAGAGGTGTCTTGTTCTAGTTGAATTTCATCTTTGTAACATGTTTTGTCTGTGTCACGACAACGAGTCACGTTTGACACGGTATCCACACACACGACAGAGATGCTATACCTTTTATTCTGTGCAGCGAGTAAGTTGTGAGTTTGAATCACAGAAAATTACTCTTGTATTTTTGAGTGTATTGGAATTTAGTTACAGTGCAGTTGTATTAGAGTCGAGATTAACCAGTATCTGTGTATCAGTGTCAGGTTATCGGTGTGGCTTCGCAAGGGAGGGGGCAGGGAAGGTTAGGTAGTGTGGCTCCCTAGACTAACACGTGATTGAACACGACACTCTCAAATGTCACACTTAGGAGGAAAACCTCACACACGGTAACCTGTGATAGCCTGCCCACCCCCATCCCCAGCCTGCCCCCTGCCTGCCCACAGCTTGCCCCCAGCCTGCCTCTAGCATGCCCCCAGCCTGCCCCTAGCCTGCCCCCAGCCTGTCCCCAGTCAGCCTCCAGCCTGCCCCCAGCCTGGAACTTCAAGAGCAAGAGGCTATAGATTTAAGCCAACTAATCAAAGTTGTCATCGAAATATAAGCAGATTGATTGATAAAGATTAAGCCACCCAAGAGGTGGCACGGGCATGAATAGCCCGTAAGAAATATAAACAAATTAACTTTCGAAAATTGAGTGGTAGACGTTTGGAGCAAGTTAGGTGAGGTGGTGGTGGAGGCCAAAACCGTCAGTAGTTTCAAAGCGTTATACGACAAAGAGTACTGGGAAGACGGGACACCACGAGCGTGTATATATATATATATATATATATATATATATATATATATATATATATATATATATATATATATATATA